GGGGGTGACTTGTAGTGTTGAGGTACGGTGGTTGGAGCATCCTTTTTTCCCCCTTCCCTAAAGCTGCTCGGGAGCACATCCGTGGCTGTGGGGGGGGTTGCCAGTTTTCTGGTTGCCTTTTTCAAGCCAGCGGGCTATTAGTGCATAAAAACCCACCGCCATGCCTCATGAAGACTAGGGTGAGTTATTTAGTTAGTTCTGGTGACTAAGCAATTAAATAGAAGGGAACCTTCCTTTGGTGTGGCTGTTTAGGCCTTGGTGCACGCTGTTAAGCCTCAACACATTACTTCATCTTGCTGTCTTTTGTGTGGATGTTAAGTTAAGGCGTGGATGACTTTGTAAAAGCGTTTGTAGAGGCACCATGTGAGAATATTATAGATGGGTGTACAAAGGATCAACTACTAAAAATTGCTGATTACTATAAGGTTGATGTTGGTGATAAAAAAAACTATTAAGACCATAAGGGCAAGCTTAAAATTTCATTTATTGAAAATGAATGTGTTGGACACAGAAAAAGTTGTTCCTGTCTCTGAGGGTGTTGAGGACTTTTCTCCACCATCAATGACTCCTGATGTCGGTTTAACTTTTGAGCAACAAAAAGAATTACTTTTGTTGCGGATGAAATTAGAGATGGAGAAAGAACTTGCGGTGGAAAAAATGAGGCATGGTATTGAGTTAGAAAAAGCACTGTCAATTGAGAAGATAAGACAAGAAGCTGAAAGTGCGAAGCTTGATCTGGAAAAGCAGAAACTGTCTCTGATTAGAGAGGGAGAAGTTGCAGCTGGTGTCTTACTTGCTGATGGTCTCTCTGGTCCCAGCTGCTCCATGGAAAGGGTGGATGTTTGGAGGGAACTGAGATTGGTTCCTCAATTTAATGAAAAAGACCCTGAAACTTTTTTTGTCCTCTTTGAGCGCCTAGCTGAGACGCGTGGTTGGTCTGACTCCACTTGCATGATATTGTTGCAGTGTGTGTTAACTGGAAGGGCCCAGGAAGCGTATTCCTCTTTAACACAGGGTGATTTAACATATGAGGTAGTGAAATGTGCTGTTCTCAAAGCGTATGAGCTTGTCCCTGAAGCTTATCGTCANGCCATGCTCCTGTGTTTGTCTCTTTTTGTTTGTTTCATGCTGACAACATGCACCACACATCAAACACTGCACTCATACACCCTCACACACCACTGACGCTCACAATCACACCCCACGATTCTACTTCGTTTCAATAAATACCCTTATGTTACAGCTGAATCTACCTGTGTGTTTCCTCCTTTGTTGCGGCCTAAGAGCCAGTCGTAACACCTTTTCCAAATGTACCATATTTTACCACACTAAATATAATTCAAAATCTTCTCTGTACATAGGAAGAAACCTTTATTTCTCACAAATACACTGCGTCAACCATTGAGGCACCACTGCCCCATATATTCCTAAATCCCTTATATAATTAACCAATATTAAACATGAGACCTATTTTCTTTTTTTAAATTGCAATTACATTTGTCTATTACAGTCAAAAGTATACAAGCATTATGGTGCTGAATACAGTTAACAGGGGCAGTTAAATTAAAAAGTAAAAATGTGAGCGTTACCTTGATCACAAATCAAATGATCTACTTATGACACTGACAAGTATTTATTGAGGGCATTAATCAAACAGGTTACACAAAGGTTTACAAATACGTGGTCACAAGACAGGAATGCATGTATGAATGTGTCCAATTACAATGTTTTTTTCCCCCCTAATCAATATATATTATCATATCAATTTTGACATAAATGTACAAAGCAGGAAAGTAAACATTTGCTGGTGAAACTGGGTTCTTCAAATACATGTTGTTGTTGGTTGTATTATTTTGAATTTTAGAGTAAATGGTCCCAAACATGACTGACCAGAACTGTGAGACTTGTTCTTACAGCATCTATTTATGGAGTTATTAAACTAATAGACACAAAATTCAGTACATACTGTTTTCTGGTGAAACTAGCATCCTCATCCACATGCAAAAGGAATGCAAAATGGAAAATTAACTCAGAACAGGACACAGTAACACAATATGGGAAAAGAGCATGTGTGAGGAGTCCGTGTCACTTAATGGTGTTAAATATGTGGATCTGAATATAGAATCGCTCGGCAACCCCTGACATGTCACTGAATCGAGCACCGCGGGTGTAAACGCAATTTCTCTAGCATCAACTTTTGAGTCCAACATCAAATAAACAACAACACAGAATTAATAGTTTTGATCTCAAATACAAGCACCATCACAAATGGCATTATTCGTATTCTTAAAGTGCTGGGTTGCCCACAACGCAGCCCCAACCAATCACAAGCACACTCCGTAGCATCTGATTGTCGACAGAGAATCAATGGACCAACACATCAGACCGTAGGACAGTTGGTGGAATATGCATTCATGAGTTGGTGACGTAACACATGATTTTATGACAAAATAAATACAGAAATGTTGAAAAGAGCAGCAAACATTAAGCTGCTACCTTCACACTCGTTCACACACACACACACACACTGAAACACACTCCTCAAAACACTCCCATTCTTACACACAAACACATTCTCTGTCTTAGTAACAGATTGCACATAGTTTGCGGCGGACGTGGTCCCAAGGTTTGTTTGCTGATGAGACGCTTTTTTTTTGTTCAGCCCGGACACTCTTTGAGGTTGACTGGACCGAACACGCCTGACGACCTGTCAAAGGTCACCGGCTCACCGTTGATCTTCATGTCCTGGATGCATCCCACGAAGGCCGACGTGACGGGAAGCGTCTGCTGCATTAACGTCTCTGCAGCAGAAAAGTGCAGTTGGTGGACTGGTGAGTGATCACGTTTGATTGTATCCAGCTGAAGTTTTTTTTTTATTTTTCCACTTATTTGCTACTAATTATACACTGTTGCCCATAAAGTTGGAATATGTTTTGTTTTCAGACACATTCCTCTTTTTATTCCTATTTATTTATTCCTATTCCTACACATATCGGTAATCGCTTTTACTCAGGTGAAACGAATTCTGACTTTTTATCCGACCAAAGAGTGTGACGTCCTGCCCATTGACACCATCAACAAGCTGGTGGACAGAATGCCAGCATGTCTTAACGCACTAGTGTCTGGGGTGGCCAGAGTCAATATTAGTGACATTTGAAAGAGTAATATTGGACATTCTAGTGCATGAAATCCCCTCAAATATGTGTTTCCTGTTATATGACCAAGGTTGAAAAATGTAAACCCTTAATCCTGTTGTTCAATATCCCCAATTTAGTCTAAACCTGAATACACAGTTAAAAAAGTTAATTGTGCTTTAATTTTTTTTACTGTAATATGGATTGTATGTATGCAAGACATACACTTCATCTATCCAGAATAAATCGCGTCGTCACAATCATTTCATGAGAAGA